AGAAAGAGAAACTCCATCATGGTGACAGTGTCCCTCCTCATCGTGTCCCTGCTGATTCTGACCATAGGACTGGCGGCCACCACCCGGACGCAGAACGTCACCGTGGGAGGCTACTATCCCGGTGTCATCGTACGTACGGATCCAGAGGCGTTGCTGTAACACTCGCCTTTCTTTGTACAGCCTGGCATGACTAAACCCCGTTATGACCTGAACGATATGAGCCACATTTCCAGAGATGTCCTGCAGCGGAATCCGACTTTCTTAAAGTTGTCAGTGCGTGTTATAGATTGTCTCCCACCAAAGAGTGCAGCAGGAGAAACAACACTCAGAATGAGTGGGTTTTTTTATTTTCTTAAACAAGCTTTACGGGTAGTAGAATCTTTGCTCAGTACAGTTTAATGAGATTTGAGCAATGCAATTGATGTGTTTATTTTTGTTCGGTCTCTGATGCTAAAAGTCTGTGAGCAACTACAAAAAAAAATGACATTTTTTTATGCCCAGCCACTCTGGAATGGACAGCTGTCTCTGCACGCATCAGCTCAAGGCAAACTGCACAGGGCGGGAGGAGGAACCCACTGGTGACTCCGACAGGCGACATGCAGTAACTGCTTGATTAAAGTCAGGGCTTCCCAGCTGTCAGTCTTCATCCCCCAACCAGCTGCGTCAGAAATGTTTTGTTAAGGCTGATAACGCTATACCTTGCATAGCAAACCCAGGTGTGGCACAACTGTGTAGGCCTGACCCCTAAGACAGTCTTTTCTTGTCAAGCGCATAGTTTGCTCCATAGGAACGAGTAAAGGTTTATTCCATGCTTAAAGGAGAAGAAAGGAAACACATTGTTCTGGTTTTCTCCATGTCTCCTTCCATGGGATAGAGCACATTTGAAATCCCCAGCTGTGTTTTAAAGAGGAAAAAAATCCTAATTTTATTTTTGGTTTTCTACACTTATGTTCTCTCTGGCATGTTTTAAATCTTTGTGCTTCTGCCACCTTTCAATGGGTCAGGAAGTTTTGCGCTTCAGAACAGAGCTTTGAGACTCCTGCTTGAAAGGCTGGCAGATACAGCCTGAAGGCTGTCAGGTCTTGCCCACAAACATGGCTGAGAGAAGCTCTCATGTACCCTGTTCTGTGTGGAAACCACATCGTGATGCTGTAACCCTGCGGCCCAGGGCGGAGGACCTCAAACAGGTCGTAAATCAGCTCTGTGGTCATGTCAGGAGCCCAGGCCTGACCTTGTTCTCCCCAGCAGGAGAGGACAGAGCAGTGAAAATGTGGGCTGTGACATTTCAAACAAGGCTTGGAAGGGCCAAAAGATATTCACAACATGACCCCTGGCAGTGGGTTTACTGTCCACTCCCTTCCCAAAACCAGAAACCACTGGACCTTTCAGTGCCCTTGGCTTGTTCACACTGAAGGGGGAATTTGAAAATGATTCCGATCTCCATTGCCCACTTGTTTTTCAGCTCGGATTCGGATCGTTTCTTGGGATCATTGGAGCCCACCTGATCGATAACAAAAGGCAGATGGTACGTTCTCTCCCTCTTCCGATTCCCGCGGGGCGCGTGGGAGCTCTGGAGGCAGGGTTTGGGGTCTCGATCCGCGGGCAGCCCCTGCGCGGAACTGTGAGGGGAGCGCAGCCCCCCGAAGGGCCCGTACGTCTCGTCCTGGACCGCCGGAGCGCCGTGATACCGGATGCCTCGTGAGATGGCAACAGAAATAGCGGAGTGTAACAGGAGGAGGGCGGAGTGCCGGGCAGGAATGTGAGGAAGAAGTGGAAGTGAAGAGCCCGCCAGCTGGTCTGTGAGCGCGGGGGCCGGGGGCGAGACGCTGCACACGCCGCCCGCCCCCGAAGGGGGAGGCTGAGCACTGAAGTGCTTAATGTGCTTTTCCTGTCTGGCCTGAACCTCTTCCTTGACTCCAGCTGAACACCGTTTATGAAACAAGCCCTGTGCTGGGTCAGGCATGTGCAATCGCCAAACAGATATACGTGCTGAAGAAAGCAAAATGAAAATACGGCTCATTTTTAGTTTTGATTGCCCAGTTTGTGCATTTTTACTCAGTGAAATGGCTTTAATCAGGGTGACAATGCATCAGGTGGCCCCGTAATGATTTTTTTTAGGGCGGATGTTCGCTGGCTCAGATTGGTAAGCCAGGGCTCTCGTCCCACGCCCGGAGGCCCAGTGGGACCGCGGGTCCGGTACTGGAGCGGGAGCTGGACAGGGAACCTGGAGGCGTGTCCTTGCTCTCGAGAGCCGGGGCTGTCTCTTTAATGTGGCGGAGCAGCACGGTCTTTGCAGTTGCAGACTGAATAGGCCCTCACTGTCACTAGGGCTGCTGATTTGCTGTGCACGGTGGGGTGAGGTGTAATTGAATCTTTCCTGCCTTTATTTAATGAAAGATACAAATGGCCCCAGTAAAGAGCTGGGCCCTGGGCCAGGAGCAAGCCGTCGCCAGAGAGAAGTGACCCCAGGGCTGCTGGATCCAGCCTGCCTGGCAGCCCCACTCCCTCTCCCAGCAGCAGAGACAGAAACGCACAGCTCTCGTCTTCAACGGCAGCTTATTTAGAACAGGGAGCTGTCTGTTTCTGTCAGAGGACCAGTCTTTTTCAAATGAGATAACGTACACAACTGTAGCATATCCAGATGCTTTTGTTACATATTAAAGCAATTATCCTTTTACATTTTTAACCGGTGAGATAAAGACTTTATGCTCGGCTCATCAGTGCCTAAAGTTTCTTGCAGCTGTGTTGCTGGCACAGTGTCGGGCAACTGTGATTGAGACCGGAGCCGATGAAAAGCAGCTCAGTGACTGTGTTGCTTTCGTCAATGAAAGCAAAGCCAGCAGTGGTCACTCCAGACCTCCTGCCGTTTGATTTCGTACACTGTTGCTGTGTCAGTCGATATACAATCCTTTTTTAACACTGAAATACCTGTAATTGACTGTGTCTTTTCCTTTTATATTGACCAAAGATTTAGCCAGGTCAGGCAGTGTGTGAAAATATTTCAATCTTGAGGAAGTGCTGATGAGGAAAAAAAAAAGATCCTGAATTAGCACAAGCTGTGGATCCTCCGACTGGGGGATCGGAAAGTGTCTTTAAAGCACTAATTCTGCTCAATATAAACTACCGTAGGAAGACTGATAGTGCTGCTTTAGTCAAAGCTTTATACACACGTGTGGCAGTGCCAATTTAATGGTCATTTACATTACAGCTGAGATGTTTTATTTGTTTCTGTAATTGCAAAAGGAAATCATTTTAAATCGTGTTGCTTACCACAGCACAAGATATCCTAATGACTGTCTTTCGATGTGTTCTGAGTGTTTTGAACTATAGTGACTATTATGGAAGGTCTTGCAGTTACTGGTCGTGTCTTGTAACTCAGCTGGCCGAAGGGGTTCAGTCACATCTGAGCCAATTCCTAGTTGTTTCCAGGGTTACACGACCTCCAGAAGAGGTTTTCATAAGCAGGACTGTTAAATTAAACAGGGCGAAGAGGACATGAGGCAAGGGGCTGATCTCACCTGAGTGCGTGTCTTTCCTTCCACAGCTGGTGGCCTCCATTGTGTTCATCAGCTTCGGGGTGGTGGCTGCCTTCTGCTGTGCCATTGTGGACGGTGTGTTTGCTGCGAGGCACATTGTGAGTGTTGTGCAGGTCTGTCTGTACCTGCTGTGCAGCTGTTGGAAGTTCATCCCACTGATAGCCGGCACTGTGTTAGCCTGACAGCAAACTGGCATCGCAAAACCTGTTAAGACTTACAAAAACATTGTTTAGCAATTTTACAGTGTAACTTTAAAAGGTAAAATGTTGCATTTCAAGTTGTTGGATGTTTCTGTCACGCAAGATTCTGTTTCCACGTATATTGATGTAAAAATGATGTCTTCTAGGATCTGAGGCCTCTGTATGCTGGAAGATGCAAATACTACTCTAGTGTTACATCTATTGATGACCAAGAGGTAAAGAACCTTGTTTGTGTTCTGTGCAGCCATTCAGTCTACAGTAATGCAACAAGCAGTACCATACCACCCTTTTTATACCTGTTTATATAAGCAGACTGTTTTCTGACAGCTTGCATTCCTGACACGCAGTTGGTATTGACATGTAATTAACGCACAGAAGAGTACTTCTATAATAACATGACTTTTTACAAGTGTCAAACCCACAGAACAGAAGGGAGGAATTTTACATGTCCAGTGCTCTCCCGTGCCCTTTGAAAGCTTGTTAAGAGGACGAGGAACTTTTGGGTAGTCTGTCTTGCCTACCCATAGTGCTCTGTTTTTCCCAGGTGCCCTGCCAAACTGCTTCGCGGGGATCCTGCAGCCTGCGTGTGAAGAGCAACACCTGCTACTGCTGTGACCTGTACAACTGCGGCAAGTGCGTCTCCATTCCCCTGTCCTCTCGGTACTAACGACAGGTGGAAAAGCTAGTAAACAGCCACAGCCCTTTCTGCCCTGCACCCAGGACTGGGCTGATGTATATGTAGAGGGCGCTGCAATCTGCAGGCAGCGGTTTAGCATGTACTCAAGTTGCTTTTCAACCATCGCCTGTTCATACCTAGGAAGAGTGTTAATCGGCCAGTCAAACTGACCAAGGGGCCAAATTAGACCAGGTCTAGTTAGTGTGTCTCCAAAGGGCCAGAGCTGGCCAGTCCTGGTATAAACAGACGTGCGCGTGCAGCAGAGCCCTGTACTGTCTCGCCTCCCAGTGGGTCCTCTGTCACAAGGAGGGGAATCTGTAACATGAGATAGGCGCTTGGGGAGGAGCAAGGCTGCTTGAGAGCATTGCAGGAGTGTTCCTTCAGACTGTGCTGCCCCCCTCCTCCCCCTGGCTGCTCAGTGGTGTCAGTTCTGCACCAGGTCACAAGACAACAGGCCCATCGTGGTCGGTTTCTGATCTTTCCCTTCTCGCCTTTCGTCACAAACACAGCGTTGCCTCTTGTTTCACCTTTGTTTCAGAGATCATCCTCTCTTAGGAGCTCAAAGCAAAGACATTTTGACAAAAAATCAGAGAACTCCCATGATTTGGAAGTAGGTCTTTTCTGTTTACTTCCCACAGCTACGCTGTTTGGTTGTGGCTGGGTGAGAAAGCGTGGCTGTCTAATGTCCTGAGTCTGGCTCCTGCTGGATGGGGTGTGAGTCTGGCTCTGGTGCTCCTAGCTGCTTGCCGGGGCTCCTCCTCCCCTGCTGGGGTGCGCATGAGAGCCCAGGTCCTTCTGGGGCCTCCAGCCTGACTCCGGTCCACCGGGTCCCCTGATCCACTCTTCCCTTTCTGCCTCTTGTGTTCCAGCCGCATGGAGGTGATGGGCGGCTACCACGAGTACATGGACGTGCGGAGCTGTCAGGACGTGGTGCATCTTTACCATTTGCTGTGGTCGGCCACAATACTAAATATAGTGGCTCTGTTTCTTGGAGTTGTCACTGCTGCAGTGCTGGGGGGATTTAAAGACATGGTGAGACCAGCGCTCCGATGCCTCAACGCCATTGTGAACCTTTGAGTTGAGAACTGGCGTCACAGGACTGCAATATTTCTGCACTTCTTTTCATTGCTGTTAAACATGTGCTGGGAATTGGCACAGCCTCAGCTAGAGTGCTAAATCTATCACCCTTTCTCTACAACCTGAGATTCAGCACATTTGCAGAGCAGTCTTCTTGTGCTGTGTCTTTCATTTTAACGCACCATAGCAAAGGTTTGTTGCTTCAGACGTACCCAGCTACACTTTTCAGACGCTGAGACAGTTTTACTGTGCGCCAGTGTTTTATTAATAACTTATGTATTTACTGCTTTTTTTTACGAAATCTTCCAGCGGGAGTGTGTTTTGAGTGGGGCAGTAAATGTTATTCTGTGTTTTGGCCAGACTCCCAGCTCTGGCCCAGATAGCTATGAGCCAGACCCTCACCCCCCTCGGGATTCCTGTGAGCCCCCACCTCCGGTGGCCTCCTACAGCTCCTACTACAACAGCGCCCCCTGCCTGCCGCCCTACACTGCCTACGACCTGCAGGTGCTGTCTCTCTCCCTGTCCTGTTGACTTGCATGCAGTGGTACAGAGGTAGGGGGCTCCTCAGCTTGAGTGGCCAGTTTCCCCATCAAGAGTCTCTGAATAGTTTAAAATCGACTGTCCTGTGACTGGTGCTGAAACACAGGTTAACAACCAACTTGTGTTCCGTTAGTGGGATGTTGTTTCAGTTTGTTTCACCAGTCAGCCAGCAGCGTGCTCGGTCAAATGGGTTTTTTTTTTCTGCGTGCAGTTTTGAATCAAGTGGCAAATTTCAAGTTAAATTTAAATGTAAAAATGGTAGCCCCACTTGAAATCCCTGCTTCTGCACTGAGAAACAGTCTAGTCTAGTCTGGCTTAAAGAAGGTGGGAGGGGTAGAGCTATCTGCCCCCGCTTCTCGTCCTCCCCCGGGCCTGGGTGAGGACGGGGCGGGTCTCGTCTTGTCCTCCTCCGGCGGTCTCACTCGGGCTGCTGGGTGTGTTTCCTCTGCAGGGCTCCAGCATGTTCCCGGACTCCTCCGGCCTCTCCGATGACTCGCAGTCTGCGGCCAGCTACATGTGGCCCACCCAGATTCCCCCTCGCTACTCGCCTCCGTATTACCCCCCCGACGAGAAGCCCCCTCCCTACAGCCCCTGAGTGCGGAGGGGGAGGAGGGGGTCACCCTTCCGGCATCTCGCAAACTCTGGGGGAGATGGAGGAGAAGAACTGGAGGGGGTGGGGGTAAACTCCCAGTTTACAGCAGAAGGGATGGGAGACCTCTCTTTGCAGCCTGGTCATAAAGACACTGTGAATCCTCCTGTTTGTGCTCCACAGGAGCGGAACTTTTTTTATCGACAGGATTTTTGCCAACTTTACATCGCTTCATGCTTCTGCTGCATCCGAAAGAATGGATTTCGCTCATTGGTTCTTTCTAGCAGTGTTGCCCCTGCTGCTTTTACATCGGAAGGAGAAGGAAAGGGGCTTCAGAACAGCTTTTATTATCCTACTTGACCGTATGGCATGGCCCATACACATCACTGCAGCACTGACTTAAGTTTCAGATGACAAGGAGGAAGGGCACCAGAGGCAGTGGCCCATTTAGACCGGCCTCTAGTGGTCACAAGTGGCACTTCGGACACTTCTGTCGACTCAACTCCAGGACTGTTTACAGCACCGTTTTGATGATGAACACGAGCTGGCTAGAACGTCCCTCCTGGGCTGTGCAGGAGCGTCAGCTGTAGCATTTCCTAGAAAGAACTGCCTTGATGTCTGCTGTACTGGAACTCTGCGTGTTTTCACTTAGTGGTCAACTGAATCACCTTGTACTGAGAATCAGTCTTTGAACACCCAATCTTTACTTTGTATAGCACGTTTTCCCCACGCTGAGCACCATCTCATGTTTCTAATACGCTATGAGGGAGTACCTGAGGTCTGTCAGTTGTAACCACTTGTGTGTGTTAATGATCCACCATGTTTCATTAGCAGTAGTCCGTGTCTTGGCATCGTCTGGAAGAACGCACTGAATATACAAGCTCACCTTTGTTTTTTTACTTATTACGAGGAGCAGTTAGATAAAGATCTCTTCACATTTTTTATCCAAGCCGTTGTGTGCAGAGCTATGACAATGCTGTATGTGCTGTGAGTTACTGGAAATTTGACTTACCTTTTTTTTTAAATGACAGTCATTCAGAAGGCTAGTGTAAAAGTGTATATGCATTTTAATTCGAAACCATCATTTATATAAAAATGTTACAAGCTTTGTTGCTTGGAAATACATACCTACATTCTTCATGTTTAAGCTGATATTCTATTTTGCAATGAGAAAGACAGCAGTATAACTATTTAATATGAATTTTTCCTGGAGGCAAACTGTCTGCCCCAGAGTAAATGAATCACAAGGGCATTTTGCCCACAGTGGAAATCAGATTTATTCCATTTGCTGTGACTGGTGAATGTTACCAGAACACAATTTGCAGCTTACAGAGAGGAGCAGCTTGATTTTCTGGTAGATGACAGACATAACACAGTCTGTGATGTACAATAATGACAGAAAATGGTCTTGTTCTGGTCATTGTTGCTTAATTATTGTCTGTGATATATCATTAATTTGCAGATGATCTGAAACAGCTCCCTAACAAATAAAAAGCAAGAACCGCTGCCTGTTTTTGCATCCCCACAAATTTAGCTTTACCATCAAACTTCCGCAGTGACAGCCTTGTTTATACCTCCTGTAAGTATATCCAGACCACAGAACTGGAAGCATTCAGCCTCCAGAATCCTCATTCGAACCTGAAATACAGACAATGGCTCCTGTTTCAACCCCTTCTGTTCAACACTGGCCTTCTCCACCCTCTGGCCTCTTGGTGTGTGTATAGATAGTAGGGGCAGAACTGCAAATGAGCTTATGAATTTTCATGATCTTAAAATTAAACTGTAAATGAACGGGAAAGTTCCAGGGTGCCAGGAGCCACCACAGTCCCATGGCCTTTAGGGCTGCAAGTAGTGTTTTGGTACATTTGGAGAACATGTAGCATTTGGAGTTCCAGTTTGCCCTGTAAAGATGTCTCAATAACATTGCGAGTCAAAATGAAGATTAATAAAAGGTTGCCATCTCTTTTTCTTGGGCATGGCTTCCTGCCTCAGGAATGGGATGTAGGCTCAGTGGAGGCACACTCTTTCTGAAAATCTGTGATTTTCTTTCCCCTTTTTCAGTTAATCCAAGACTGTCCTTCAAATCTAATTGAGACACTTCCATTTATTCTCACCTGGATCGTTAACTGGTGGCTCAGTGTTTGCAGGTCTCTCTGGGGTTTAGATCTTGTAGCCTCTCCATGCAGTGTAGTAAAGTCTGGATCACTTTACTACAGCAGGACAGAACCAAGTAAACCAGCACACCAGCACGGCTGCCACTTGTCTTCCTCTGGTTCATGACCATCCAACACGCTGTTGTTTCTGAAACTGGTAATTGACCTAAACACAGGACACGCACTCTTCCTGGAACACCACAAACAGAAGAACGAGATTGCACTTTACAAGACCATCCTTCTGCTTTGTCACCCATTTGACCACCCACTGAGCATCAGCCAGGGTGACCACTTCTCCAGCGATGTGGGACAGAGTGCATGCAAGTGTGCTGGCGGATGGCCAGGGGTGTACTACTGTTCTGTTTTTATAAATGCTTTCTCGTGCATATTAGGTAATACATGCCAATAAAAAACAGGCCACTTTTATATGGTTCCTGCCTGGGCAGATCACTGAAATTAACATAAAAACCCAGGATGATCATAGCTGAACTGCACTGTCCAGTTAACCCAGCATTTTCCCGTCAGGTCAGGAGAGCCGGCCTGTGTTCAGATTCGGGCAGAACTGAACTGGTCAGGGTCCACTCTAGCACTGGAGGTAGAGCTGAAGGGGGCTTGAGCGTCAGGATGATAGCTGCCCACCCGAGTCATGGCCAGAACCCCGCCCTTTCTTGCTCTTTCACAACCAGAGACACCAGCCTACCACCAGCAACCTGGAGACAGACACACACAAGAATATTCCTCTTCATAAAGGTTTATTTCCATTCTGGACAGAACTAAGAGCTATAAATAAGGTTTCAAAATATGAAAAAAACAAGTTAAGAAAAGGCTTTAGTACAGTTATTTACATTTAATAGTTATTTAAAGTTTTTTTAAAGTATTTTTTTTTGGAGGGGGGGGGAATGGAGTAGCACTGCTCAAACATTCGATCTTCAAGAGCTACTGGGATGGTATAAAGAATTAGTCTACAAAAAAATGACTCACCAGTGGCTCCTACTGGCCAGCGTAAAAGTAACCACATCCCCAAAAACAGGTCAAAAGAAAAATTGGCAATAGCAAACAACACTACGAGGTAACACACTGTACACTGAGTGCATAGCTGATATGATCAGTTAAGCACTCAGCTGAGATCTTAACAGCACATCGGCCTTTGGGAAAAAATGTAATTCAGAGTTTCTATGACGCAAATTGAACACACGGATAATAGCAGGTCTCCTCTACAATGTACAGCAGAGGCACTCAGCAGACTGTCCTGTATGATCAGCATAAAAATATAGAATACTAGTGGATTCCAGGGCACCACAGGAACAATACTGTGTGTTGGTAAATGAAGGCTTATATTTATTGGAATGTTTATCGCTACATTTACTGGATGTTGTTATTGACACTTTTTTAATTGCAAATTGTTGATTGACTAGAAAACAAATAAAAGTGAAAACAGACCAATAGGATGGTGAGCATGCTCAGAATAAAGTTTCTGGAACATCACACCAAAGGGCCCCTCATCCTGAATGGAGTGTTTTTTCTTTATTGACTAAACCTGGAATTTCCGAGTCCCTGGAAAGTCAGGAAGCAAAGAACTTGATTCAAACCGGAAAACATTCCAAAATGACAACGTTTAACTCTTATCAAATAAATGTTCGCTAGCCCCGACATCTCTAAGGGAACAACCCACAGGCGGGGAAATCAAAAGCAAAGTGGAGTGGCGTTCGAACGCATCAAGACCCGTCCTGTCTGTTTGTGTTCTGCTCATTACCACAGCTACTGGGATTTCATCCTGCCCTGGGCTTCTGCCCTGTAACCTGGTGCTCTTATGAGCCGAGAGCAGGAATAACCACCTCTGAAACCTTGGAAGTAGCAAAATAAACTGAGACTGAAGAGGACATCTGGTCTCCACACAGTTTTCTGTACACTGCTTGGACCCAGGGTCTTTTAACACTTACTGTGTTCAGTAATGTATTCATTAGGTTGCATAGCTAACTGTTATTTGTGTACTAATCTCACGTGGCAAGTATCTAAGGGTTATGCATTATCACAGTAAAAACTAAAAGCCTTCTTTCGAGAAATAAACGTGACAGTGTCACAGCCCTTTGAATGATATAAAAAAGACAACTTCATGTTCACTCATACAATCATAAGTAGCTACAAAAATAAACTTTTTATTGGGCGTTTCAAGTTAATGGTATTATGGATCAATTATGACATTGGAAACTTCTAAAAATGGAATAAATAGATAAAAATCTAAATTTACTTCATTGGCAGGTGGAAAGGTTAAGCAGAAATGCAACATCAGAACATTTATATCCTGTAGGAAGAGGCTGCAAAGTTACCTAAAGGTAGAGAAGACAAAGACATTCACAGGATACAACAAAGCAGCTAAATTGTAAATGTTTAACCAGTAAGCCTTTTTTAAAATTTGAAATGAAAAGGTTATGTTACGGCGAGCGGAACTTCCCCATCAGCGAGAGAAGCTGACATAGTCCTGCCCAGACCCAGAGATATACCGGGTCGTCAGACTGTGCTGTGGGACAGCAGCCCCTGTGTCCCCACACTGTTGGCAGTGAGAGCTGCTCACTCCACTGTAGACACTGTGGGAGTCAGCAGGACAGCTGGCACACAGCTCTGATGGGTGCTATCCTACCTCCGCATGCTACTACGAGGGTTCGGGTAGGCCAACATCTGCCAACTCCAAACTGATGAGGCTGGCAATTCCAAATTTGTTTTAAAAAAAGCTAAGTAGCTTACTTTATTTCCTTAAGGAATTTACGGGTCACATCCCCATCAAAGCTTTCAGCTGCCAACAGCAGAGAACTACAAGATCAAGCATGAAGTTCAATTCCTGGCTGTGATCTTTTAGGTTCATTTTAAAAATCATGGACTGTAAATAGTTCACATTATCACGTTGTGTGATACCACTATTGTACAGCATTTAGAAAAAGAGCATTTTCTGTCAACACCAACCCTCTTAGGGACAAGATGTTTAGATTTCTCTATCTCATAAAATGGATACTTCAATACATATCCACAGGCACTGTCACAAAAAAGCTGCTGTAAAACATGTTACGAAGCAGTCGTGATAGAGAGATGAACACAAACATGGGATTGTGTAAAAATAAAATGAGTTATGACATTTGTGAAGCAAGGGTTCTACACAAAATTCAACAGTCCTGTTAGTAACAATTAATCTGTCATGGTCCTTAACGCAGGAAACAATGATGAGAGGAATAAAAGCTTGTTAACAGCCCGGTTCTTTGAGGGACAAGCAAAGTAACAATCAGAATTCTAAACAACTTCTTGTTTTGTCTTCTGCTGTACTTGCGTGGTGGAAGGTTTCTCCCAAATCCTGCCCCTCCCACCACTCAATATACAGAAAAAGTATAACGAAGTACATTACAATTAAGTACAAAAAGATATTTTCCTTTTACATCAACACCTTTGAGTCTTTTATGTTTCATTTCTGGTATTTCTCTACAAGTAAACGATGGAATCGGGAAGGGTCTTTATATCGTTACTTAAGCAATGCCATTACTTGAGTCAATTCTTTTCCTGACGTGCATATTAAACTCACAAACCTGTTTTTTTTATCTGGGTATTAGAATAAGAGCTACTGATGGTGTTAGAGAATTCAGGCCGGCTTGTTCAATACCGGGATGTCAGAGCAACACACGAGAAGCTTTCAAAGAAAAAAACGGACAAGAGTAGCCAGAACTTGCTATGCAACAATGCATAATGAAATGAGAACAGCTGCTAACGAAAACCTAGGTGCACAAAGAACCACCAAACCAGTGCTAAAATATCAGAACTTCCTACACACAAGTATCAACGAGTGAACAGTTCAGTGTGGAAATCCGTTCTGGACCCTGGAAGATGAAGACCTCCCCCGGAAACTCAGTAGGTCTCTGGTATAACAAATTCAAACTCCGACGTGCCTTCGGTGGGGTTAATATAAGTTTCTGGCTGCGCACCTGGCTGAACAAAGATATCATCCCAGTTCACCACCTGCTTGCCCGTGCTGGGGGGCTGGGTCCCCGGGCTGGACTGGGGCGTCTTGCTGGGATCCACATGGTACACGAGCCCCTCCTCGTTTATGATGGGTATGCCTCCCGAGGAGTTGGGGACGTAGGAGTAGGGCTTGAGCTGCAGGGACTTGCAGGGCAGCAGGCGGTACAGGTTGTTGTCAGTGTCGTCCTTCTCCTTGCGCCCCGAGGGGTCCTGGTTGTGCGCCGACTTGCAGTGCGAGGACAGCAGCTGGTAGTTGATGAAGAACTCGTTGCACAGCAGGCACTGGTACCGGCGTTCCCCCGTGTGGTAGATCTCGTGCTTCGTCCTGTACTCCGCCAGGGCAAACACCTTGTCGCAGTAGCGGCAGGGGTACTTCTTCTCCCACGAGTGGGTGTTGAAGTGCCGCCTCAGGCTGGTCAGGCACACGTAGGAGCGCTTGCACACGATGCACACATAAAAGGTCCGCCCGTCCATGATCAGCTCGTAGTGGTCGTCGTGCCGGACCTTGACCTTCTTCCGGCTCGGCGAGTCCTGGCTGTAGGGAGAGGACATTCTCGCCTTCCTCCCTCCGCTGGCTTTTGAATCTCCCTCCCCGGGGTCATCCTTCATAGGAATCACAATGTCGTAGGTGTTTTCTCCTATGTTGGCATAAACCTTGCACCCTGTAGACAGAGAGTCTATTTCTGACGCCTTGTCTAGCGTAATCGTCTTTTTCCCTGCCACCAGGTTTTGGGGGGAGCTCTGCCCAGCTCCGTTCTTTGCTCCGATTGCTGACCTCACATCCGACAGCTTGATTTTGAACTCCCCTGGTTTTGCCGGAGAAGCTTCGAGAACTGTGGTCACCTGCTTCTTCTGGACGCCTGTGCCTTCTTGGTTGTCCTTGGGCGGGGGACCATGGTAGG